TGATGAGGACATGACTACCTTGGATATGACCAAAAATATTGCATATATGCATATTTGTCAGGTGATTTCTAGTGCAAACTATTCAATAATCTATTTATGTTATCCAGAACAAAAATACTCCACACACTTTTGTGTTTTGTCTAATTGCAGGTGTATGGGACATTTGTACAATCCACATATGAAGATAAGGAAGAAAGAGATGTTTATTTGCTGTCCAAAAAGTTTTCTCACGTCACTTTTGGCCCAAGAGAATATAGAGTCCAAGTCTCTCACGTTCTGGATTCAGATTCGGACTGCACAGACATACCTGACTCAAAACGCACACAAGTTTTTCATACGGACTCCGAATTGGGTGATTCTTTTTTTGTTGGAAACTAGATTTCATGAACTTTCCAACCCAATTGGAATCACCTTCAAATTCGTCCGGAGAATTGAGTTGTGGACGAAACAATCTGATGCTGCAGCAGAATCCGAGTCAAACTACAAGTCCAAAGGTGTGACATCACCTCCACTTGGGCCCATTGGCCTTGTACGACCTAGATTTAGTTTTAGGCTGCCTTGGGACGTCCTCCCACCTCCTTGGCCGCCACCCCTTGCTCCTATATAAGTAGATCCATCTAGTAGCTTTTCCTTGGGATTTGTTTAGTTAAAAGTTAGCCATTGCAACTTCGTGTGCTTCGTTTGTGTCCAACGACCAGACCAAGACCACTTTTCGGATCCCCACCATTATCAATACTTCATATATATTCGCAATATTCAGATTGCTTTATCATATTCTTGCTCGTTCTTCGATTGCTTGCAGGAATAGACTTTCGTGGTCAGGTTGATCGTGCTCCAGCGTGGTCAATAACCTCTTGGAGTTGGTTTAGCGATTGTTAAGGCGCAACGTCGTGCACGTTTGTAGTCGGATCATCAAAGTCGTCTCCACCAAATCGATAGTTATCATCTCATCGAAAGATCGGGACCCTCGCCTCTATCACTGTCGGTCTCCGGCGGCAAGACGGCGGGGCGGTGGCGGGCGACGTGGGAGGTGGCGGGTGCAGAGTGGATGTTGCAGCGCCGACAGCTAGCAGAGTCATCGGAAAAAATGGGCGAAGGCGTCGGTGACGAAGGAGGGGGCGACGGTTTGTTGTTGGATGGGAAGAGGCCAATGTGCCACCGATTAGTGGGTCGGGGGAGGAGAAGGTGAACACGCACGCATCCGTCTCGTATCCGTGCCGACGCAAATCCGGCTCAATGATAGGTAGGAAATGAGTCGCCCGCGGATGAAAAGTGGACGCGCGTCCGTTTGGATCGGCGCATTGGACCGACTTTTGTGTCCGCAACGACCCAAACGAACGTCCGCGAATGAAATGGGTCGCCCCGTTGGAATTGCTTTTATTGGGCTGGTAGTTAATGGTAAGCATAGTAGGAAAAAATAGAATCGCCCCGCTGGTTCACCCACGCCTAGGTGATGTGGCCCGGCCCATTTGACGTCCGGTCATTAGTTTGCTGTTTTTTTTTTCTTGTTACTTGTGATTTCGCTTTAAGAAATGTAGGTGCGTGCTTGTGCTCCTGCTCCTCCGGACCGAGATCTCCTGTCCTGCCACCGCCTCCTCGAGCACGGCGAGTCACCATCACCTCATATCGCCGACGTCGGTCACCACCGCAAACCAGGTACTGACACTTCGCTCAGCCACATATTTCCTATTAATCTCTCGCCTTCTCTGCTCCTTTTGTCGGATCTCTCCCTAGATGTTTCTGGACCTTATAGATAGATAAGATGGCGACGTTTTTTGGCTTCTGGCTAAATTAGGGATAAGATCAAACTGTTTGCTTGTCCCCGTGTGCTGATTAATTGGAGCCAAGAAACCATTAGAGCGTTGAGGGGGAGCGAGCCAGCAGCGGCCTGATTGTTCCTCGGCCCTTCATCAACTGGGGTTGTTGAATTCTTTAGGCAGGGGCCTGCCCATGGCCGAGGATCAATCTGGCCCGCCGGCAGCGGACGGGGTGGTGGTGGCGATGAAGGGCCATCCGGGGTCAGGCAAGTCTACGGTGGCTCGTGCCATCGCCTCCGCGCTCCGATGCCCGCTCCTTGACAAGGACGACGTGCGGGACTGCACCCTGCACCTCGAGCACGCTGCCGCCGGCAGCGGCATCCTCAACGACCTCTCCTACGCCGTGCTCTGGAGGTTGGCCGAGAGGCAGCTCCGGCTTGGCCTGTCCATCGTCGTCGACTCCCCACTGTCGCGTCGAGCCCATCTCGATGCTCTGGCCCGCTTGCCTGCTGCACTTGTTATCGTTGTGGAATGCCGGCCAGGCAACCAAGATGAATGGCGCCGCAGGCTGGAGGAGCGTGGAGGTGTCTTGGCCGATGATGGATGGCATAAGCCCAAGACGTGGGCCGACCTAGAAAGGCTTGTGGAAGGGTACCAAGGTTGCACAAACTATGACATTGGGGATGTGCCGAGGATCGTTGTGGATACAACGGACCCAACGGTCAGCACAGAGGCAATCGCTGTCAGGGTTGTGGATTTTATTAGGCCTCTTCTAGCCCGTGCGCATTAGATATGTTATAATAGCTGTCCACCAACGTTTTGGTGAAGACAAGGTTCAAATGTTTTCTGTCAGCAGCAAAATAGAGGATAAGTTAAGTTTCAGATCAGAATTTCATGGCAGAATGTTAAAATGATGTATACTGTATTGTATAGGATTGGAGCATCTGTTTAACTTTTTCATCCGTTCCCTCATTTCCTTGCGCAGCGTTGGTGCTTATGCTCGCCCTCTGTTTACGAGTGTAGCCGTTCTCAGTACCTCAAACGTGTTGCAAAATGACCCACCTATGTATTATGTTACTGATTTTGAAGCCTTTACTTGAGACTTGATACATTTTGCTTCCTTCCCCATCATTCAGGTTACAATGCTAGATCATTACACAACACATTGTTTGTTTTCCCCGTAGTGATAGCTGCTTATGTCACGGTGTGTACTTAACATCAACCCTGTAGAAGTCTCTGTAATGCATTACTAGGAATTATGAATCTCTTAGGAAATAGTTAACCTGTTATTCTCAATCAAGGTTTGCAACCATTGATATCACTCATCTTTATTTGGTCCTGGTAATCTAAAAATGATCATATATACATGTACAGTCATAACATTTCAGTGGCTATTTTAGAAACCAGAATTGATGGCGAGAAATATCGACATTTTTCTCTTACAGCTCAGATGTCCTGATTCTGAATGTGTAACACACTTTTTTGTTCTGTGGTTTGCTATGGATAAGACGCTGGCAGCTTTCAATTTCCATTTCATTATTGGTAGCCTGTCAAGTGGGGGCAAGTACAGTAGAAACAACCCTTTTGGTGACTGAATAGAAAAAATCAACCTGGATTGTCTGATTGGACCTAGATTGGTCATTAAGTTTTGGAACTTGTGGGTGTAAGTTTTAAAACTCGACGGTGCAAGTTTTGTAACTTGCATCTGTGCCATCCATCTCTGATCTGATGGCCCAAGTTGATCTTTTCTATTCTTGCACCATAAGGTCTGATTCTATTGTAGTCGTCCCCTTTAAGTTGCACTGACGAAAACTTGTTTCCAACAGCACCATGTATCTTTTAATGCTCAAAGAGGCCTAGTCATAAGAAGCAAGCTATACTTCTATTTTCTTTCAAGAAAACAATGAGATCATGTTATTTTGAAATTCAAGAATTTTATGATTTGTTGGGAGGCCATATGTTATTTATTTGTACTTCAAAAGTGTTTTTTCTGCAGCACGAGGCAGTCGTGTGTTGGGAGAACAGTAGTATGCATATTGCAGTCTCAAGCATCTGAACAAATACAAAGTTGAGCACTAGGGTAGCCAGTTATATTAAGAGAGCAGTGATTCGGTGCCCAGGCTCATCTGCACCCGCGTTTAAGGAAAAAAAAAATACTAGAAAAATTCAAAAAATTCCAAACAAATTTTGCATGGTAGATAATTTGGTGCGTGAGGTTCGCTCCAAATTTCAGATCATTTGGACATCTGAGTAGCTCTCGGCAAAAAAGACAAATTTCGTGTCTGTAAATTTTTTTACTGTCCATGTACTGTTTTGACCCAATTTGTCTTTTTTGCTGAGAGCTACTCATATCTCCAAATGATCTGAAATTTGGAGCGCAGCTCACGCATCAAATTATCTACCATGCAAAAAAGAATTGGAGTTTTTTTGTATTTTTTTCTTGAATGGGTGCAGATGAGCCTGGGCTCAAAAATGGATACAATCTTATAATGTTGAAACAGTATCAGTACTTTTCTTGTTTGTGAAGACTATCACCAGAGCCCAGACATAACTCCCTCGTTTTGTGTTTCACCAGTCCCCGTGCTAGATGGCACCTTCTACTCTAAAACCAGGTGTGCCTATTACTTTGCAAGAGCTAGAGCCCTCCTCAGAGATGTTCAAGCAAGGGGCATCCCTTCGGGTAACAGGAATGTATGTGTGCAGTGCAGGTGCTTCCTTCTGAAAAGTGCAAACTTCTGTGCTAACCTTCTTGGCTTGTAATTCTTTTAGCCTTCAGTCATATGATGTGGACTCTGCAGTTGTTGTCATTCAAGATGGCAGTGCTAGACTGAAGATTGATACTCAAAACCTGAGAGACATTAGTTTCCGCAGCAATTCCACGTTCCAGTTCATCGGTGAACTCCTGATCCAGCCAAATAACGATGTAATTTTTTTCTCCTTCCAGATTTTGCCAGTCGGTTTGGTCTTAGTATCATTGGAACAATGCTACATCAAATTTGGTGCTTGCGTCCTGCAGGCGATTCTACAAGCACGTGTGGGCAGGAATGTTGATGGACTTGACCTGAACCTTTACCAGCAGTCTTTGATCATCCGACGGCAACATGAAGCCAAACTACTGAGCTCCAGGAGGCCATGATCCAAAGCTGTGAATCAGGCTCAAAGCCTCACTTCAGTTTTTCTGAAGTATGGAGCATGTGAGAAAAGAATCACCTAACTCATGATGACCATGTTCTCCAGTTTGTTATAGAACCTACAAAGTGGTACTAGTAGTTAACTGAGTTTCCTGAGCACAGATTATTCCTCGAGGGCCACCTCATTCTCAAGGATATTTAAGCTATCAGGTCCATGAGCTCATATTGGTTGAGGGTCCATATATCTGTTTTGTGGGCTGGCATTCCCTTTCAGCTCGACGGATGTGGCTGCAGAGTGATATCCTATTATTCTGAACAATTTGGAACCTGACAGGCTGTGTGGGGACAGATGGATGTGATGCCTACAAACCTTAATTTCTTTTAGTTAGTGATAGCGCTTCAGACTAATTACCGCTGGAGGCACATAAACCATGGGGAACTTACATGAGCAGCCGTATAATGGGAAGGTGTATATACACCTGATATGGGGGAGATTAATAATTAAAGAAGTCAATAAAGTTCGGAACTATATTTTTGAATAAACTTGACTTTTTTTCACTAGTATACTTATTTTCACGAATAAAAACCCAGCGTTGGTAAGTCACTATTCACACTAATTTGAGGTGTATATACACCTGATATGGGGGAGATTAATAATTAAAGAAGTCAATAAAGTTCAGAACTATATTTTTGAATAAAGTTGACTTTTCTTCACTAGTATACTTATTTTCACGAATAAAAACCCAGCGTTGATAAGTCACTATTCACACTAATTTGATCAAATATTTTTTGCCTTGAAGTCAACACATTTTTTCTTTTGTGATTTTTTTATACAAGTACGATGAAAGGTCAAGTTTATTTTAAAAAGAATAGTTTTTTATTTAGTTATCACCCCCACCCACACATAACTGGGTACCGTCAGCAGAGGGCAGTGCTGAACGAACGATTCGTCGGCCCCCAGAGGTTTGATCGGCCGAACCCCATGTGTTCGATCCAGCAGCTGGCCCAGTAAATTATTAAACGTGCAGAAAATAGGGGTTAGCCCCCAATTAGTTATTTTTTAGAAAAAAATTGACATCAATTTTTTTGTCATCTTTATCTTCACCTAATAATAAAGGATGGATGATTTCATAGTTCTTCATAGGTCATCTGTTTATATCCGTTGATTTTATGTTAACCATAAAAATTGACGACTGAGATTTAAAAATAGATTTACACACATGTAAAGTAAAAAACCCGCAGAAGGAAGTCCCATACCAATACTACGGTTCCAACTTCCTATACCGCTCCTAATCTTTCTGCCTTCAGGTTATGCCCGGCTTAGGCACGGAGTATCCTCACCATCATCGTCCTCCTTTTCCACAGCTTGAAGGTTCTCAAGTTCTCCTTGATAGTATTGTTTCTGCTGCAAAACAAGATGAACTATGTTTCCACACTTTAATTGTATATCGCCAAGTCAGTTCTCAATTTCAATACTATGATCGGTCTATAATTCTCCTAACCACAGAGCACGCGATGCCACCATGGCATGGGTGTCATGCTACCTCGTGCTCCCTTCTGGCTTGGTTCCGAGATTCCGGCAGCCTGGGCTCGCCGCCGTCGGGATCCGGCCACCACGGCTCATCGTCAGCAGATCCGAGGACCTAGACTCGCACTATCTGACGGTGATGTGCTTTTGCTACGAGGCCAAGAGGAGAAACGGCTGATGTGGGAGCGGGAGGCGGATGGTTGTGGATCCGGGGAGCCGCGGACATGGCACGGGTTGCCCACCGTGGGCACAGGAGCAGCGAGCTGCAAGCCGGCACTGGTCGACATTTGTGCAGGCCGATGGTTCTGGATGTGGATCCGTTGGCGGCTGGCATGGCATGGTTTGCCGGAGCTAGGCAGGGGAGCAGCAAGCTGCAAGCCAGTGATTGTCATTGCTTTGTACAGATTGCTCCGATTTTTATACATGCATGTGATTCCTTCAATTTTGCGCTGCTATTGTTTCTATGCTGAATTTTCTTGGTGTTTGATTCGTGCCGTGAAAAGATGAGGATCAGAGAGAGGAAAAGAGAGAATGTGAGAGAGATTGAGATGAATTTCTCCGTGGGTTGCATGTGTATCGCTGCTGCTGCCTTTTGTGCTGGTGCTAGGCTTTGTTGTATCCAACGAATTGAGTCGCTGAGGGGATCCTACCTACGAGCAGCCAGCATGAAGTTGTGCTGGGTCGCTGTGTTGGACGACTGACATCGGAAGGCTCTAGCCGATGCCGCCGGGTGTAGGAGTCTCTCTAATCCTCCTCTCCATGGCCGCTGCCTCCCCTGACGTCACCGCATCATGGTCTTCATCGGCGCCCCGAAGGACACGGCCACCCCACGCGCTGTGGCCTCCCCCTAGCTGCCATCGCCGTCTCCCTCTACATCGCCGCGGTAGGCTTGCTCACAGTAAGGACATAAGCATATAAGAATACCTTAGACAATACATTAGGAAACCATGAGAGTATGACAGTGTTTAACTTCAGGTGGCAGAAAATCATGCACCACACACGTTCAATCAGTCACCTTCTTATGCTTGCATATATTTCGGTGGAGTACTGAACATCCTAATTTGCGTCTACTTGATGAACTAAGCCCACATATCATGTCGATTTGGTCACCATTGAGTGGATCGAGAGCTACCTTAAGACCCAGGATGTACCAATGGTATATATCTCATGTACGAAGATATGGCAACTGAGTTTGGTGTCTCTGCTTCTTTGGTTTCTGAATAATGGAAGAACTCCCGGCCTTCCAGAACACGCATGGTAGCTTTAACTTTGCCTAATAAATTATCTCCATAATAGGTGTCACAGTTTTGAACTAAACTTAGTTTAAAATTGCGACACTTATTTTGGATAAGAGGGAGTACCGTATATGGTCAATCTAGGATTAAAGTCTATTTATCAACTTGGATAGTCTAGGTTGCAGTGTATCTCGGGTGCCTCTTTCAGTTTTAGTAGTTATCAGTGATATTGGTTGCTCGATCTCTATAGTGCTCTATTTGTACTACTTTTATTGCTCTGCCGCAGACGGCTACGTCTCAAAGTGGACTTTTCGAACATTTGATAAAGGTTTGGGTTTCAAGGCTGGTCCTGTTTCTGGAACTGTGACTACTATTTCTTAACCCCTCTGGCTATTTTAAGGAAGAAAAAAATATTAGGTTATCAAGAATTTCGTGTCCCCCATCTTGTTGCCAACATGCTCTTCACCTCAACCATATCACTACCAGTATCTCTTAATGCAGTTCAGCAATTTCAAACTTCGGTGCGTACCGGAAGTATCTACCTACTCCCGAGCTATTAGTTTTGCGAGAAGATGATAGTATATAGCAGAACATGCCTGCTTACAAGCTAGCAAGCTGCTGGGTTGATTCCCTTGGAGATTAGCTAGCTATAGATATTTGTCGGATGGAAACAATACATACTAACCTTGCCGACTATCGTGATTACTGGTTAATCCTATTCAGTGTTTGCAGGAAGGTGATGATCTTTCAGGCCAACAACTTATGGTGTGAGTTCACGTCTTCACGTATGCATGCACATGATCATCTAAAGTAGATGTTTATACATGAATTGTAGCGATAACTTACATACTGATCGATCTGATTATTGATATACCACTATGCAGATTGCGTCAGTGCCACCCCACCAAACCGACCCGAGCAAAACGCTCACTCACTACACACTTCATTTGATATTATACAAAGTTCTAATACCATAATATTAATGCGTTGTTGGACTCTATATGGTGCTGGTACATACTAACATACGTGTACTTCTTGCTTCCTTGAATGCCTAGATATTTCTTTAGCAATAGCTGGCTAGAAAGTGTACATTTGGGAAGGAGAGGGTTGGAGGAGATCATCGTTGATCATTCATCTAACAATACAAACTATTAGTTTCAACGATCAAAGCATCGAAGGCTAACGGTTGTTTTTGTACTAATTAATTAAAAGATTCAAGGATTCAAATTTATATTCTAAACATGAGTGTCAAGATTAACACAATCTCGAGACATGCATGTGGTCTTACCAGGGTGTCTTATTCCAGAGGTTCCTCAATCATGTGCCTCTTATAGAGCGTTGGAGCACCCGTTGCAACAAAATAAATAATTTTCCAGAAAATTAATTAGGAAATCATGTGTGTTTCGAACAAGTCAATTTTGAATTCTTCGAATATGTTAATAGTAACTTTTTAATCATTTTGGTATATCGCAGAGGCACTATTTACCTAATTTTTTACCTAATCTTTTCAATTCTACACATCATGAGAATATTGTGGACAATTGTTTTTACCTATCATTTCACCTCTTATACAAAGCAAGGAAACGATAGGGTGACATGTCGTAACAGAGGACGTAGACCTATGTTTGTGGGGTCCCGAGTCATATTTAGAAGCGTGTGATGCTTTTTTTTCTCCCGTTGCAACGCACGGGCATATTTGTTAGTGTAAAAATAACGAAAATACTAACGCCCACACGTGTGGGTGTTTGCATCTCGCCCACACGCATGGATCAACGTCCGTTTGTGTTTGCACGAATCTTGGCATGTTTTGCCAGATTTTTTTATGCCACGTAGGACTGGGCTGGTGTGTGGGCATTCATTCGGTCACTCATACGTCTGTTTCACCACGTGGAGGGGCTGGTGTGTGGACGTTTAGCAGTTCGTCTACACGCCAGTTTCACGCACGCAGAGGGGCTGGTGTGTGGACGTTTATCAGTTCGCCCACACACGCCTGTCTCCTCTCCCACACCCAAAGCTGTCAGTTGCCATGTGTTTTTGCAGGGTACATGGCAACTTCCCTAGTGTGCTTGTGAGTAGATGGCAACTCTCTTTACCCGAGTTGCCAGTGTTTTGCATGTGTGACACCCCAAGACCGGAGCTTCAGTTGCCTTTCATGGTTTCCGGGTTTCGTCATGTGATTTGTTTGGTTCGTTGCATTCATCATTGCATCATGTGCATTGCATCATGTCATTTCTTTTTCTTA